TCAAATTTTTATGATATCTTCAAACATATATTTTATTCAAAAATAAAAAGATCATCACTTTCTCAAAATCACATAAAGTCATATTATAACATCGACTGAGATAAAGAATAAAATGAAATATTAAAATCACGATATATCTCGTTGCATTGCGCGAATGCGCTTCTAGTCCTTTATAAGGTATCTTATTTTGAAAATTTTATCCATAATAATAATCGATAATCTATTACTTTTTAAACTGGTTAACCATTTGATTTTTTGTTTCAGGTTATTTGTTTACTTATTAATAGTTTCATTAACAGGTAATATTTGAATCGTTAAGAGATTAATCTTGTTTGGTAAAAAAAATTATCTCTTAATGATTCTAAAATCTTCTGAATGAATTTGTATCTTGGGTCTTACTTAACCATTCAGCGCCCTAACTTCATTGTAAACAATTATATTTCATTTTACACTATATCATTCAGCAACTACCAAACAGTTCATTCATTGGCTTCAGTGATATGATGCGAATGACACATCATTTTGATGGCATGGCTAAAATAAAATAAAAAATAAGATAAACCTATTTCAAATTATTTTCATTTTTCATTGCTGTGATTTAAAAAAATATTTTTTTTTACATTTTCTTATTAAATTACATGCAAATTAAATATTTTGGAGTAAAATATTTCTTAAATGATGAATAAATATTATTTTTGATATAACTATTTTGTTTGTAAAAAGATATAGCATTCCTATTTTATTTTATTTTTAAAATACATAACTCATAAAGTTTTTTAAGATGTTATTGTTAGCAGATAAACTGTGATCTAGAATTTTTTAATATTGTTGTGTTAATGAATAATCAAATAAAAAATCTAATTAATTTAATATATTTATACATCAATAGAATTTTTATAAACAAGTATAATATATTAAAATTAAAAGTACAATGTTGATAAGGAAAAATAATTTGAAAGTACATTGTCAGGGAAATCCTCAGCGACCTTGAAGGTAAAACACTGAAAGTTGCATATAAATTATGTGATTGTATGTTCCTGTTGAATTGTTTAAAGGGTGCACTTTTTACAGTAGCTTATGGATTCAAATTTCTTCTGCCTGACGTTATCTCAATAAGGTACGATACCGTGATTTACCAAATCGATAATGATTGTACAACTGATACAGTGATATGCTTGAACCATGTAATTACAACAGATGTTTTATGTATGCATGCGTAACTTTACAGAGGTTTTTTAATTGAAATCAATGTATTTTTCTAGTAAGTTGTGAATTATTATTTTTTTATTAACCTGGATATCAAACTTGTTATGCGAGCCGACTAATCCCAGAGCGACCACCTATGTGTGGCCTGGAGTCACCACATTTGAACTTCCGTGATCACAATGGGATTTTTAATCATCATTAGATTTGAATCTGGGACCTTCAGACACTTTTGATATTTGAAGCTCAAGCTCAAACCAGTCAGACACCGCCCTTCTGGTTAACAGTTTTCTTAATTACTGTAATCACTCAATACCCAAGTTAATATATGTATTTATTAGAAAACCAAAAAGCTACAAATAAATGAAACAAAAAACAACCAAAAACCTTGGTGTTATATGGGTTTTTCTTTATGATTGGAAGTCTGACCAAATGTTAAAATCTCGACAAGAAAATAATATATGTTTTAAAGATTTCAACGTAAATCATATTGTTAAGGCCCATTTAAAGTTTGTTTGTTTACTTTTTAATAGTTCCATTAAGAGACATCATCTGAATCGTTAAGAGGTGAATTTTGTTTGGCAAAAAAACAGTTTGTCTCTTAATGGTTCTAAAATTATCTGAATGGTTTTGTATCATTTATCTTCCTTAACCATTCAACGTTCTAATTTCATTGTAAATAATTATCAAACAATTATATTTTATTTTGCATTATGTCATGAGAGTCTTTTAATCATTATGACCACTTAATCATTTTACGCTAAACCATTCAGCAACTGTCAAACAAGCCCTTAGTTTAACATAGGGTTTTGAAAGATTTAGATTTCGTGAAAGAATTTAGAATTTTTTATATGTTTGCTTTGTAGGGCTTGGAATGAATTCAATTCCATTCGTTATAAATAAACATTAATTATTATGAAATAAGTTTTTTAACATGTTTTAAAACATTATTACAAATAAATCTTATAAAATTCCATCGAAGATATAAAATCGAAAAATTTCTTCAACCCAAACATAGAACTGGAATAAAATCCAGTTCCAATCCTTCTCAAACTTATAAATCAAATTGTATCTTAAAAACCATTTACGGTGCGTTTTATTTGATAGAATGTTTTCTAATGGATTTTGATTTTATAAAAGGATTTGGAATATTTCGTGTGTCTGATTTGTAGGTTTTGGGATTAAATTGAACTGAATTTCATTTTTTATAAAAGCAAAATATAAAAATATATTAAATTATTTTTTAATAAATTGATTATTACAAAACAAGTGTTTTTAACACGTTTTAAAAGAGTACACAAACAAATCATATGAAATTTCGTAAAATATCAACTACTCCATGTGATTTCTAAACTCATGTCTGTGAGATTTCAAATCCAAGTATTCATTCAAACCAAACATAAGATTGAAATGAAAGTCAACTCCAAATCCCGTAAGCCAAACAGAACATTAAAGAATTTGTTAAA